AAAATTTATTGTGAACTATCACGGGATGATTGAGTAATTTGATAAAGAGTATTAGGTATATTACTCAAAAAGTTTTAAGTTTAAGTCTTTTCTTATTTGCTAATAAGGGTAACCACTAGAGTTTTTATTTAACCAATAATTCCAAGGTTCCGAGAGATTGATTGAAATATGTGTAAATTGACTCGGATACATTCGATAAAAAAAAAATTATTATTAATTTTTTTTTTTTTGTAGTAAACGATTTTTTCCACCTAAATAATGGTTTAATGACACTTTTCCACCCATAGACTTTTAAAATACTACTTACTATCCAAATTTATATTCCGTTTTTTATATCGATATCGTTACGACCCCAAACTATCACCATTCTCTTCTTTGATCATCACTCACCAGAATCCTTTAAACCCTACTCCTGCCAACCCCGCTAATCGTCGGCAATCGAGTGATTAGGTTTGCGCAACCGCCAATTCCAAGTCAAATTTCGATCAATCTCAATCACCAAAATCTAACTTTCCACCACCAAAGACTCATCAGCCTCCCCAAAAGCCCCAACAGCTTGGAACGAGTTTGCTTTCTGCTCGTCATCAGAATATAAATTTAGACAGTAAAATGATATTTTAAAAGTCTATGAGTGAGAAAGTGTCATTAAGTCATTTTTTGGGTGGAAAAAAATTGTTAACTCTTTTTTTTTTTTTAATTGAGTACGTGACAAGGCTTGTGGCTATATGGATAAGGACAGTTTTAATTTGAAATAATGCTACACCTATAACATTTTCTCACAAACTTTCTCTCATAACTTTGACATGACAACTCGCAATTGATTAGTTGCAATTTATCAGGTGCGATTCGGGTGAGACCTATTATGAGTTGACCAATTGTAAGATGCCACATCGAGGTTGTGAGATAGGTGTAACATTTTTCTTTAATTTGAACTTTACTTGTATTTAGAGGTGGAAAATTTGGGCCAGGTTAGGCGGGTCAACCCTAACCCGGCCCGGGAAAATGCGGGTTAAGCCCGGACCGCCAAGATGGCGGTCCGGGTTGACCCTAACCCGACAGTAACCCCCGGACGGGCCGGGTTGCACAATGGCAACCCGCAACCCGGCGGGTTGCTGTTTTGTCTCTTTTGCAAGAGACCCGACAACTCGGCGGGTTGCTGTTTTGTCTCTTTTGCAAGAGACCCGACAACCCGCCGGGTTGGTTGTGTGCAACCCAGCGAGTTGTACGTTACAACCCGCCAACCCGGCGGGTTGTAACGGCCAACCCGCCAACCCTCCGGGTTGCAACAGCCAACCCGACGGGTTGGCCGAAAAAAAAAAAATTTTATTTTATTTTTCAAATGACCCCTTTACCCTTGAAATATAGCCGTTGGAGGGGTCTTTTTCGTCATTTTTTTTTCCCATTTTTTCCTATAAATTGGCCCTAAACTCTCACATTTTTCTCACAACTCAAATTCTCTCATTCTCTCATATTCTCTAATCTCTAATCTCTCAAGTCTCAATTATTCATTTATTAGTTTTTGCAATTTGCTCATATTTTAATTTTTATTAGTTTTTGCAATTTTTAATTTATATTTCCAATTTTCCAAATTCCAATTTCCATACTCCAATTCTCTTTCTTTAATTTTTATTTCTTCTACATCAATTTTTTTTTCAACTACAATGGATAAATGAATAAGTCTAATTTTTCTTATATTACAATTTTATTGTATCAAAATTGAATTAATATTTGAAATGTTAACAAAAAAAAAAATTGAATTGAATTGAATTATAGATATTTGAAAAGTTAATTAAAAACAATTATATTTATAATTATTTATTTGAAAAGTTAAATAAAAAAAATAGGAAAATCAGGCTAACCCGGCCCGGACCGCCACCTAACCCAGCGGGTTAGGGTTGGCGGGCCTAACCCGGCCTGCCTTTGTTGGCGGGCGGGTTAGGCCCGGCCCGTCAAACAAAGTAACCCGCCGCGGGCCGGGCCGGGTCGGGCCGGACGGGTTACTTTTCCACCTTTACTTGTATTTTCGGTTTTTTTTATTTTGTTTTTTCAGAAAAGGTTCAAAAAAATAAACGAAACGAAAATAATAAAATTACATAATTTAAAAGTTTGAACTAAATCTTTTTCTAAACTCGCGCCACAAATCTATGCCCTTTATCAAGCTTCTCGCCATTTTGATCCTCATTTGTCACTCTCTCTGGCGCTTGAATTTAAAGAAACCACCAAAAATGTCCGCAGCGAAATCGATCTCCCGAAAACGAGGCTCAGCCTCAGTACTCACGAAGTCGGATTCGAATCACCGAGTCGTGGACGTCGCCGATTTTGATCTCGATGTCTCCAGGTCTGTCTCTGATAAGGTATTAAAATTAGCGTGTCAGTGATGACGGTTTGCAATTCTGAACTGTTGATGAAATTGCAGTGACTTGAAAGGCATAATGTCGGCACTTCAGCTGATAAAAGAGAAAGCGCAAAATGACGATCGAAAGAAGAAAGAAGAAACAATTTCTAGGTAATTTTAGAAATTGTATGTGAATAGTAAATTAGTTTCATCTTCAAAAATTCTGTTTATGACATCTCGATCTCTACTTTATCCAATCAATTTCCTGAGATAGAAATTTATTTCACAACACCTGATTGTTTAATGATCATCGATGCTTTTCACATGATTTGATTATGAAACTAATTAATTTGATTCTCTTAACCAAGTGATTAGGATTGCTTTCCATATGGTTAAAATCGTTGTTATTTAGTTGACAGATTTGGTCTGAAATTGATAAATATGTATTCTAGTATTAAAATTACTTGATATAAGTTCTGAAATTATAGGCATTTGTACTGAAGGTACTTTCAAGTTATTGTAAAATTTGGTTTGACTTATAAACCACTTTTAAAGAGACTTGAAAAGGTACCTAAATTTCTTTCTTTAGTACGACAAAAAATTGTTTTGGATGAATGGATTTGTTTTCATTATCGCGTCATATATGTTGAACTCTTGCTCCTCATGTATCAAATCTTCCAATTATTGTGACTTTTAATTGCTTTTGGTTTCAGTGTGGCCGCTGAAGTCAGGTCTAAGATTGATGAATTGAAGTCAAAACTTGAGAAGGATAGGTAAATTTGATGAGTAGATTAAACATCTAATTCTTATTTGTGCGCGAAGTATGCTGTTTAAAAGTTCTTGTATTTTTCATTGTAGACAAGGTTTTGCTAAGGCACTTTCCAAGAACTCCAAAGAGGTCTGTGGTGAACAAAGAAGCTTGTTACAAGATTGCAGGAGATGGTTTTTAGATTTAGCATTTCTCTCTGGTTAAGTGTTAACGAATAGTTTTGTTTGGTTAAGTTATGTTGTTGCATTTTTTCAGTGCGAGAGTCGCTTAAAGCATGAGACTGCAAAGTTTCAAGAGGTTTATGAGAAATTCTGCAAGGAAAGAGATGCCCACCTCCAGGTCTTAAAAGGTACTGGCTGCTAGATTATTTGAAGCTTTTTGGTCTTATTTGTACCCATAAAGAAGGATTTAAACTCTAGAAACAGTTTACATGCTTTTCTTCTTTATCTGCTTTTGTTATTTTCATTAAAAGTTTAAAATTTCTCAAGAAATGATTCTATCTATTTGTGAAAGCAATCTGATTTGTCAACTTTTAGGACCATTTTGTGAGTCAAATACACCAAGTCTTCCTCACTAACCATATATTTAGTACTGTCTAGTAAGCACTATGGTACATAGCAACTTGAGTTTTTGGCTTCAGTTTTCGTGAAGCCACGAGGAGAATCAAGTACTCAGCATCCACAGTCACCTTTTTTCGCGGCTGATATTTGTTTGATAGCATTTGACATCAGTTCAGTCCTGACTTGTGCTTTTCGACAGATACTATTTCCAAATTTGAGGAAGACAAGGAAAGGCTGTTCACGCGCTATGAACAACTGAGTAAGAAAGACGAATCTCTTCCTTTATTCTTAATGAAACAAAATTTCCACTAACATTTGGGTGATTGAAATCAGGGAAGAAAGAGAAGAGTTTAATATCGGAACAAGAGAAATATTGCGCAGACAAAATTGCTAAATTGGAGGAGTCGTTGAAAAAGAAGAAGCAGGTAAATAACAATGAGCATTAAGTTAATATATTGCTGGTTCGTTTATTCTCATGTAAATAACTGTAAGCTAGATTTTGCTTTTTGGAAAACAGGATGACAAAACTTTCAGCCTTTTGCGGAAAACTCTCGGTTCATTTCTTGACGATGCCTCAGACGAGGACTTTCCGCCTGATGATTGAAGATCTACTTCACCAATTGAGCGCTGAAGACATCCAACTCATAATTTTTTTTTTAATCTTTAAGAAAGAAGATTATAGTATATTGTCTCTGAGATACTTCGATGCATTTGCTCTAGGATACATGAAGTACGGACAAAGCATTTCATTCCTCTTTCTGCTATTATGGTTCACTTTCAAGGTGTGCCTTTTTCTCAAAATCCAAGTTAACATTTTCAAAACTCTCTCTCTCTACTTGCTTGAAACTCATGTGAAGACTGAAGAAAGAAAACTTGGGTATGTTACAGAAACGTTTTTATTGTTTCAAGTCGTTAGTAGTTATAACTACAAGACAAATACTATACGGTATCCTCTGTCTCATTTGGAAACAAGGAAAAAAATATTTCAGCAAAATCAAATTTCAAGCATAAAATAAAAGCATGTTCTTACTTGGAAACCAATGCACATTTTTCTTAAAGCCAACTCTTTCTATAATTGGCCTCTTAGAGAAACTTCCCGAATACTTTTTTATTTTTTTTGAAGTTTTTCACACATGTTTTGTTTTCTCCATGAGTTGCAGATATGATTATACACGATTCAACTCTTGTTAAATATAATTATGAATTGCATGTTTTTTCCAAAATCTTCCAAGTCAATGAACGATAAGGTATGATTATACACGAAATGTGTATGATTGGTCATGATAATCATCACATGGGCAGCGGAATGGTTAGTCAGTTCTTGATACATCACAACTAACAAAGAAAGAAAATTCATTAAAAAACAATCAAACTTGTGAAACACATGAAAAACATCACAAAGTTACTTTTGGCAATAATATTTCTGTACATTGATGTGCAAGAACTTCACATTCTGAGAATAAACCGTTTTCAGTATGGTATCAAGAAGAGTCTTACTGGTTCAGCGGACCTTGCTGGGAGGGGTTGGTTGGGCCTGTTGTACAGACCAAGGGGGCCGCCTGTTATGATCCTGCATAAACAACATTTACATGGAGTTTGTAATTTAGTTACATAAAACACTATGAATAACAATCCAGTCTGTAAATAGATAAAGAAGAGTTTGTGATAACATAATTATCCAAAGAGACCAACGTATTTTGTTTCAAAATGTTTTTGTACAAAAGTACCGTTTAAGAAGAATAACTAGAGCATTTCATCTTCTATATTTATACCTTAAACACATTTTTAGATATGAAACATATTACATTCTCTCAATTATTCAAATAAACATAGAGCAAATTTAGAACAACTTTGACAATTGTTGAAGTAAAGCATCAGCATTCCCAAGCACACTCAACATATCACCATAGTCTGTTCACTAAATGTGTAAGTTATCTTTGAAATAATTTTACAATGTAGAACAAGAGCCTCTCCCAAATTGAATGCGTTAGGATACTTGTGCTCTGCTGGTGGCTGCAACCGTCTCACATTTATATGCCACCAGCTCTTACTTCTAATTGAGGTGCCATGAATAGCCTGTTTGTCTAGTAAACTTGGCAAGTTTGTCTAGTTGCTAGACAAATAAGATTAAAATTATAGAACGCAGAGTAATCCACAATTATACACAAAAATAAGTAAACAGTTCACATACCCCAATTTCAGTAACAACATGACAAGAGGAACACCTAACCAGTGGAGTTCCATACGGATACATCAACAACGCTGCACAACTTGCACACTTAACTTGCCCAACCTGGTGTGCTGAAAAAGAAAGAAAGACTTATAAGTTTAAACATCTTACTCAGATAAGATTACAAAGCAGAATACAAATTTCAGCCACATTGACAATATGCTCACCATCAATATCTGACAAGAAAATAAATGTCCATTCAGTTGTGAGATTGTATTCTACAATAGAATATTAAGATTTTATTGATCATAAGCTTTAATTCAACTCAATGGTGCCCATGTTTTTAAACTGCACCCTTATGTGGAGATCACAGAATTGGGTAATACAAGGTTCTTCTCATCTAAGGTAGCAACTAGCAAGTGTCCCAAAGGCGAGGTGTGGAATTAATTAATGCATTACTAAAGAGATTAGCCTCGAAGCACAACTAAAAAAGAATGAGGAGAGTCGGGGAGCCATAGGAGTCAGATGAAAGAATGTAAATATATAGCTCATGTACATCCAAAATTTGATGACTTCAGTTCCTCTTGAGAGGATATAAACATGGGTCTTGTGGAACAAACGTATCTAAGCTCTGTGACAAGTATTTCAGGGCTTCCATATCTCACCTAGGTGTATGGGCAGTAATGTCTATGCGCCAGGTAAACAATGGGTATTGATTTAACAGTAATAAAAGTTATAGGCTAAAATCCGTAATTTGTCAGATATAAATCTATAGTAAGTGCTCTTCATACACTAGGTAGTTGGCATGCTCAAAATATTTGAGGGTTTGGTAAAATGCTTGGAGGGAAGAGATACAAAGATGAATCTACGAAAAACTTGGAATCCTCAGATTATCCTTATCAATGATCAAATCACATAGTAACAGTTAATATATGAACAGTTGATCATAACGGAAACTAATTATCAGTTTAATTACATGTCACATGTGGAAGAGAAGGGAAGAACCTTCTAGCACAAAGTTAATTGTCTGACAACATGAACATTTCACATGTTTAGCCCCTTGTGGATGTGTAAGCAAACGCCGGCAAGAACCACAAACCATTTGAGCCATTTCTGCAATAAAATAATAAAATGCACAGCCAGAAGACCTTTAACAAACAAACTGATACTGTGAGACTAAGCTTGCATCAAGCACAAACATTCAATAGTAAGAGATATTGATTCAGTAAAACCCTAACAAATAAAGTTTTAGGTTAGGCACATGTGGTAGCATTTCTTGCTGCATTTTGGCTAACATATAACACTTAAACTGACACACAGGTGATCAGTAGTTCTGTTGGCAACAATAACGCTAAACGGGAAAATTTTACTTTATAAAATGGTCATCCAATTGCTGCTTTACTGGAAGCAAGGGTTTCGCGGAAGAGTTTCACATTAACAACATATGGTCTCAAACCAAATATAGCTTCCTCTTGCACAATGTCACTAAGTCTTTAATAAATTTCACATTTTTCTTCAATGAATCTCATTAAAATGTTCTTACAAAATGTAATTTAATTATCGCTCATTCAATTCCTTCTAAGTCAAGGGTTGCTACAATTTAAATTACTACTAGCATTAAGCAATCTAAAGTGTTGGGTACGAAGTGGGTAACATTAAAAAATTTCAGAAACTTAATAGCAACTTCCAGCAACAGGTAATCACCGAATAATAAAACTCAAATGAATAATATGCCTAGGTTCTAAAGGCTTTTGAATAATAAAGAAAATCGTCTTTTGGGTTTTAAATGAAAAACAAAATCATACAAAAATAACCAATTAAAATATCCATTGTAACATGGAAAAGTTGCAGTGAATAAAATGGTTCCTGACCGGACGGCGGCGGCGGAGGCGCTGTAGACGCTGGTGGAGGAATGGGCTGTTGCCAGCCGGGTGGGGGCCCATCATCATCATCTTCTTCTTCTGGTTTTTCCGTTAATTCTTTTTCTCCTTCGTTCTCCATTCTCTGAGACTTCGAGTACGAGGAGTGGAGATGTGTCAGTTATCAATTTTAAAATAAAAGTAGTAAATTTTTATTAATAATAATTAGTGAAAAAATGCAGAAACAATTATTCAATTTTAAGTTTGATAAAAATTATTTTGTTAGGTAAATTGAGGGGAAAAAAAAGTAAAAAGACTTGAATGAATAACAGGTTAAGGGACGAATTTATCCATACTTATAACTTTATTAACTCCATACTTATAACTTTATTAACTATAAGGAGTTATTGCATGTTTCAGTTTTGTGTTTTTTATGTTAATTTTTTTTTTTTTTTTAAGTACATGTTACTGACCAATCTATACCTATATATCTATATAAAGTTGAACCCTCTGGCTGATTGACATGATATGTTGGACTCATTTTGTGGGTTTAGAGTTGTTCGACACATTGGATTGACATGTTGAATGTGCGGTTTAATGACCCCACTCAAATTCTCTATCTTGACACGTTGGGTTTGTATTAATTGCTTCATCTTGACACGTTGGATGTGTATTAATAATAATTATATAAGTGTATTGCATCGGCATTCCAAATGTCTAACCATCTTGACACGTTGAATGTATATTAATAACAATTATATAGCTACATTGCATTGGCATTTCAAAGGTCTAAATAAAAAGATATAAAGATGGGAGTTAGTCTCTTCATATTATGTTTTGTAGCCCTACAATTGCTCCATTTTGACATGTTGGATGTGTGATTTAATGACCTCTACCTAGAATTGCTAATAATAATTATATAGCTACATTGTATTGACATTACAAATGTTTCTTCATATTCAGTTGCTGTAATATTCTCTCTAGCTAGTAATTCTTTAAGAAATATATGACAAAATCCACTAAATAACTTTTGTAAACATATATACATAGAGGTATATAATGTAAAATCCGAAATTTCTGATTTTAATTCATATAAGTATATACACAAAATAACTGATATACTTTAATAAGTACAAGATAATCTTGGACAATGCTGCCAAACTCCTCTACTTCTTGACATCCCACTCGACCGTAAATCATCTAGTACCTGCAAAACAGTAAAATAACGGAGTGAGTACTAATTGCTTAGTAAGTAAACCAAACTGCACTATTATTTTTCCTCCGTTACTCGTATTCTGACTTTCCTTTTCTCACTTTATTTTTTTCTGATATTCTGCATTCTTTTCTGATATTCTGCATTCTTTTCTGATATGCTGATTTGCTACTTACCAATGTGTAAAGACAATTAATAAAACTGTACATCGCCGAGCACATAAGAAATGCTAAATCATGCAAGTAGCATAATACATATGTAGAATAATAAACTTTTCTGAGAAAAGAACTTTCTTTTCTTTTCTGTTTTCTGTCTCTTGTTTTGTATCTCTTTCTTTTCTTTTCTGTTTTGGTTTGCCGATCGGACTAGGCTGAGGCATGGATTTGGAACCTTGGCCATGTGAGTGTATACTGGGTACAATCCTCATCTACATGCACTACTGACAGACTGTACTAATTCTGTTCTGCTATGCTGAGGCCGCTTACTGATGGTGGCGTGCATGTAGGTATTTTTGCTGGGTACAATCCTCATCCACATACACTGCTGATGGATTGTACAAGTTCTTTTCTGCTATGTTGAGGCCGCTCACTGATGGCGGCGTGCATGTGGGAATTTTCTACATCTCTGTCACTCATGGGTTCCCCATCACAACAATCTTCTAACATAACATGCTATAGAAAGAGAAAGAGAAATAGAAAGAGATACTATACACATTTCTAAATGAATTTCCAAGCTATGAAAATTCTACGCTTGCATTCTTTAGTAAATGAGAAAATATACATATTTTCATGTTAGCTTAAAAAGAATATATAAGCCATTTTCTTTCTTTCTTTTCTCATTCTTTGCTAATATTTTTTTTTAATATTCTCATTTACCAAATCAAGGCTATATATAAATAAATCATATGCATAATATATGTATGATTAAGCCCATTCTTTGATATTCTTTCCATATTCACATACACAAACTTGAAAACTCATTATGGCATAATGATATGTCATGACATATTCTATCATTCTCTACTATCACAAATGCCATATCAAAGTAACACTTTAACATGCAATTCTTTTCTAACACTTTCATGTGCTGTTCAAGAAGTAGTAAAGGTTCAAGTAACTAGAACCAAGCACTAAGGGCCATTTCTCTCATGGAACTAACATGACTAAGTGATATTCTAAATTTTGGCATAACAAAATGGACTCTTGAATACTAAAAGTTACAATTGGTTATGCCCAACATAATCTTTCTACTTCAATTCTTGCATTTCTCTAACCCTTTCTTCAATAGGGTTTAGCCAACTCATGCATGCATTTTCTCTTTGGATTTCCATCAAACAATTCATATGCACATGCAACAAGCAAGTTGGCTACACTTCCATATCTCTCTAAATCCACCAAAATTTGAGCAAAAACTCAATAATTGTAGCCATAAACTTGGCCGATTTCAACAAATCTCAACACTTCAAAATTTCAACACTAATTCTTCCATAATTCCACCAATTCATCACATACTCAAGCACTACTTCTCATGGTTGGAAATTATACATCATTCAACATAAAAAACAACCAACAATTCTCACATACAAACATGCAAGAATCATTGATGGAATAGGAACAAGTTGTTTTGCTAGGAATGTGTTGAGGATGGTCGAATTAGAATCCTAAGGAAACTAAGTCCTTAAAACCCTAATTGTGCAGCATCTGATTTTGCCACCTTTTAGGACCATTTTGTGAGTCAAATACACCAAGTCTTCCTCACTAACCATATATTTAGTACTGTCTAGTAAGCACTATGGTACATAGCAACTTGAGTTTTTGGCTTCATTTTTCGTGAAGCCACGAGGAGAATCAATACTCAATCCCATCACCCTTTTTTGCGGCTGATATTTGTTTATGCATTGTATGAGTTCAGTCCTGACTTGTGCTTTTCGACAGATACTATTTCCAAATTTGAGGAAGACAAGGAAAGGCTTTCACGAGCGCTATGACAACTGAGTAAGAAAGACGAATCTCTTCCTTTATTCTTAATGAAACAAAATTTCCACTAACATTTGGGTGATTGAAATCAGGGAAGAAAGAGAAGATTTAATATCGAACAAGAAAATATTGCGCGACAAATTGCTAAATTGGAGGAGTCGTTGAAAAAGAAGAAGCAGGTAATAACAATGAGCATTAAGTTAATATATTGCTGGTTCGTTTATTCTCATGTAAATAACTGTAAGCTAGATTTTGCTTTTTGGAAAACAGGATGACAAAACTTTCAGCCTTTTGCGGAAAACTCTCGGTTCATTTCTTGACGATGCCTCGACGCAGGACTTCCGCCTGATGATTGAGATCTACTTCACCAATTGAGCGCTGAAGACATCCAACTCATAATTTTTTTTAATCTTTAAGAAAGAAGATTATAGTATATTGTCTCTGAGATACTTCGATGCATTTGCTCTAGCTACATGAAGTACGGACAAAGCATTTCATTCCTCTTTCTGCTATTATGGTTCACTTTCAAGGTGTGCCTTTTTCTCAAAATCCAAGTAACATTTTCAAACTCTCTCTCTCTCTCTCTCTCTACTTGCTTGAAACTCATGTGAAGACTGAAGAAAGAAACTTGGGTGTTGTTACAGAAACGTTTTTATTGTTTCACAGTCGTTAGTAGTTATAACTACAAGACAATACTATACGGTATCCTCTTCTCATTTGGAAACAAGGAAAAAAATATTTCAGCAAAATCAAATTTCAAGCATAAAATAAAAGCAGTCTACTTGGGAAACCAATGCACATTTTTCTTAAGCCAACTCTTTCTATAATTGGCCTCTTAGAGAAACTTCCCGATACTTTTTTTTTTTTTGTTTTTCACACAGTTTTGTTTTTCTCCATGAGTTGCGGATATGATTATACACGATTCAACTCTTGTTAATATAATTATGAATTGCATGTTTTTTTCCAAAATCTTCCAAGTCAATGAACGTAAGGTATGATTATACACGAAATGTGTATGATTGGTCATGATAATCATCACATGGGCAGCGGAATGGTTGTCAGTTCTTGATACATCACAACTAACAAAGAAAGAAAATTCATTAAAAAACAATCAAACTTGTGAAACACATGAAAAACATCACAAAGTTACTTTTGGCAATAATATTTCTGTACATTGATGTGCAAGAACTTCACATTCTGAAATAAACCGTTTTCAGTATGGTATCAAGAAGAGTCTTACTGGTTCAGCGGACCTTGCTGGGAGGGGTTGGTTGGGCCTGTTGTACAGACCAAGGGGGCCGCCTGTTTGATCCTGCATAAACAACATTTACATGGAGTTTTGTAATTTAGTTACATAAACACTATGAATAACATCCAGTCTGTAAATAGATAAAGAGAGTTTGTGATAACATAATTATCCAAAGAGACCAACGTATTTTGTTTCAAAATGTTTTTGTACAAAAGTACCGTTTAAGAAGAAAACTAGAGCATTTCATCTTCTATATTTATACCTTAAACACATTTTAGATATGAAACATATTACATTCTCTCATTATTCAAATAACATAGAGCAATTTAGAACAACTTTGCAATCGTTGAAGTAAACATCAGCATTCCCAGCACACTCAACATATCACCATAGTCTGTTCACTAAATGTGTAAGTTATCTTTGAAATAATTTTACAATGTAGAACAAGAGCCTCTCCCAAATTGAATGTCTTAGGATACTTGTGGTTGGCTGCAACCGTCTCACATTTATATGCCACCAGCTCTTACTTCTAATTGAGGTGCCATGAATAGCCTGTTTGTCTAGTAAACTTGGCAAGTTTGTCTATGTTGCTAGACAAATAAGATTAAAATTATAGAACGCAGAGTAATCCACATTATACACAAAATATAAACAGTTCACATACCCCAATTTCAGTAACAACATGACAAGAGGAACACCTAACCAGTGGAGTCCATACGGATACATCAACAACGCTGCACAACTTGCACACTTAACTTGCCCAACCTGGTGTGCTGAAAAGAAAGAAAGACTTATAATTTAACCATCTTACTCAGATAAGATTACAAGCAGAATAAATTTCAGCACATTGAAAATATGCTCACCATCATATCTGACAAGAAAATAAATGTCCATTCCTTGTAGATTGTATTCTACAATAGAATTAAGATTTTATTGATCATAAGCTTTAATTCAACTCAATGGTGCCCATGTTTTTTAAACTGCAACCTTATGTGAGATCACAGAATTGGGTAATACAAGGTTCTTCTCATCTAAGGTAGCAACTAGCAAGTGTCCCAAAGGCGAGGTGTGGAATTAATTAATGCATTACTAAAGAGATTAGCCTCGAAGCACACACTAAAAAGAATGAGGAGAGTCGGGGGAGCCATAGAGTCAGATGAAGAATGTAATATATAGCATGTACATCCAAATTTTGATGACTTCAGTTCCTCTTGAGAGGATATAAACATGGGTCTTGTGGAACAAACGTATCTAAGCTCTGTGACAAGTATTTCAGGGCTTCCATATCTCACCTAGTTGTATGGGCATTAATGTCTATGCGCCAGGTAACAATGGGTATTGATTTACAGCAATAAAGTTATAGGCTAAAATCCGTAATTTGTCAGATATAAATCTATAGTAAGTGCTCTTCATACACTAGGTAGTTGGCATGCTCAAAATATTTGAGGGTTTGGTAAAATGCTTGGAGGGAAAGATACAAAGATGAATCTACGAAAAACTTGGAATCCTCAGATATCCTTATCAATGATCAAATCACATAGTAACAGTTAATATATGAACAGTTGATCATAACGAAACTAATTATCAGTTTAATTACATGTCACATGTGGAAGAGAAGGGAAGAACCTTCTAGCACAAAGTTAATTGTCTGACAACATGAACATTTCACATGTTTAGCCCCTTGTGGATGTGTAAGCAAACGCCGGCAAGAACCACAAACCATTTGAGCCATTTCTGCATAAAATAATAAAATGCACAGCCAGAAGACCTTTAACAAACAAACTGATACTGTGAGACTAAGCTTGCATCAAGCACAAACATTCAATAGTAAGATATTGATTCATTAAAACCCTAACAATAAGTTTTAGGTTAGGCACATGTGGTAGCATTTCTTGCTGCATTTTGGCTAACATATAACACTTAAACTGACACACAGGTGATCGTATTATTCTGTTGGCAACAATAACGCTAAACGGAAAATTTTACTCTATAAATGGTCATCCAATTGCTGCTTTACTGGAAGCAAGGGTTTCGCGGAAGAGTTTCACATTACAACATATGGTCTCAAACCAAATATAGCTTCCTCTTGCACAATGTCACTAAGTCTTTAATAAATTTCACATTTTTCTTCAATGAATCTCATTAAAATGTTCTTACAAAATGTATTTAATTATCGCTCTTCAATTCCTTCTAAGTCAAGGGTTGCTACAATTTAAATTACTACTAGCATTAAGCAATCTAAAGTGTTGGGTACGAAGTGGGTAATTAAAAAATTTCAGAAACTTAATAGCAACTTCCAGCAACAGGTAATCACCGAATAATAAAACTCAAATGAATATATGCCTAGGTTCTAAAGGCTTTTGAATAATAAGAAATCTCTTTTGGGTTTTAAATGAAAAACAAAATCATAAAAAAATAACCAATTAAAATATCCATTGTAACATGGAAAAGTTGCAGTGAATAAATGGTTCCTGACCGGACGGCGGCGGCGGGGCGCTGTAGACGCTGGTGGAGGAATGGTTGTTGCCAGCCGGGTGGGGGCCCTCATCATCACTTCTTCTTCTGGTTTTTTTTTTTCCGTATTCTTTTTTCTCCTTCGTTCTCCATTCTCTGAGACTTCGAGTACAGGATGGAGATGTGTCAGTTTACCATTTTAAAATAAAAGTATAAATTTTTATTAATAATAATTAGTGAAAAAATGCAGAAAAATTATTCAATTTTAAGTTTGATAAAATTTTTGTTAGGTAAATTGAGGGGAAAAAAAGTAAAAAGACTTGAATGAATAACAGGTTAAGGGACGAATTTATCCATACTATAACTTTATTACTCCATACTTATAACTTTATTAACTATAAGGAGTTATTGCATGTTTCAGTTTTTTTTTTTTTTTTTTTTGTAGTAAACGATTTTTTCACCCAAATAATGGTTTAATGATGCTTTCCCATCCATGGACTTTTAACATACTACTTACTATTCAAATTTATATTCTGCTTTTTATGTCGGCATCGTTACGACCCCAAACCACCATCATTCTCTTCTTTGATCATCATTCGCCAGCAATCGAGTGATTAGGTTTACGCAACTGCTCATTCCAAGTCAAATTTTGATAAATCTCAATCTTCAAAATCTAACTTTTCATCACCAAAAGACTCATCAGCCTCCCCAAAAGCCCCAACAGCTTGGAACGAGTTTATTTTCTGCTCGTCATCACAATATAAATTTAGACAGTAAAATGGTATTTTAAAAGTCTATGAGTGAGAAAGTATCATTAAGTCATCATTTGAGTGGAAAAAAACCGTTTAACTCTTTTTTTTTTTTTTAATTGAGTACGTGACAAGGCTTGTGGCTTCATGGACAAGGACGGTTTTAATTTGAAGTAGTGCTACACCTACAACATTTTCTCACAAACTTTCTCTCATAACTTTGATATGACAACTCGTAATTGATAAGTTACAATTTATTAGGTGCGATCCGGGTGAGACCTATTATGAGTTGACCAATTATAAGATGCCACATCGGGATTATGAGAGAAAGTTTATGAGAAGAGCTCATGGTTGTAACATTTTTCTTTAATTTGAACTATACTTGTATTTTCGGTTTTTTTTGTTTTTTCAGAAAAGATTTTAAAAAATAAACGAAACGAAAATAATAAAAATACATAATTTAAAAGTTTGAACTAAATCTTTTTCTAAATAGTAATACTACATTTACAAAGTCCCCATACAAAGATATATGTACAAAGTGATGTGTCATACTATGATTGGACAATGAATTTGACTTTAGTTAAAAAGTTGACTTTACAAATTCACTCTCCCAATCATAGTATGACACCTCACTTTGTACACACATCTTTGTATAAGGACTTTGTAAGTGTAGTATTATTCTTTTCTAAACTCGCGCCACAAATCTATACTCTTTGTCAAGCTTCTCGCCATTTTGATCCTCATTTGTCACTCTCTCTGGCGCTTGAATTTAAAGAAACCACCAAAAATGTCCGCAGCGAAATCGATCTCCCGAAAACGAGGCTCAGCCTCAGTACTCACGAAGTCGGATTCGAATCACCGAGTCGTGGACGTGGACGATTTTGATCTCGATGTCTCCAGGTCTGTCTCTGATAAGGTATTAAAATTAGAGTGTCAGTGATGACGGTTTGCAATTCTGAACTGTTGATGAAATTGCAGTGACTTGAAAGGCATAATGTCGGCACTTCAGCTGATAAAAGAGAAAGCGCAAAATGACGATCGAAAGAAGAAAGAAGAAACAATTTCTAGGTAATTTTAGAAATTGTATGTGAATAGTAAATTAGTTTCATCTTCAAAAATTCTGTTTATGACATCTCGATCTCTACTTTATCCAATCAATTTCCTGAGATAGAAATTTATTTCACAACACCTGATTGTTTAATGATCATCGATGCTTTTCACATGATTTGATTATGAAACTAATTAATTTGATTCTCTTAACCAAGTGATTAGGATTGCTTTCCATATGGTTAAAATCGTTGTTATTTAGTTGACAGATTTGGTCTGAAATTGATAAATATGTATTCTAGTATTAAAATTACTTGATATAAGTTCTGAAATTATAGGCATTTGTACTGAAGGTACTTTCAAGTTATTGTAAAATTTGGTTTGACTTATAAACCACTTTTAAAGAGACTTGAAAAGGTACCTAAATTTCTTTCTTTAGTACGACAAAAAATTGTTTTGGATGAATGGATTTGTTTTCATTATCGCGTCATATATGTTGAACTCTTGCTCCTCATGTATCAAATCTTCCAATTATTGTGACTTTTAATTGCTTTTGGTTTCAGTGTGGCCGCTGAAGTCAGGTCTAAGATTGATGAATTGAAGTCAAAACTTGAGAAGGATAGGTAAATTTGATGAGTAGATTAAACATCTAATTCTTATTTGTGCGCGAAGTATGCTGTTTAAAAGTTCTTGTATTTTTCATTGTAGACAAGGTTTTGCTAAGGCACTTTCCAAGAACTCCAAAGAGGTCTGTGGTGAACAAAGAAGCTTGTTACAAGATTGCAGGAGATGGTTTTTAGATTTAGCATTTCTCTCTGGTTAAGTGTTAACGAATAGTTTTGTTTGGTTAAGTTATGTTGTTGCATTTTTTCAGTGCGAGAGTCGCTTAAAGCATGAGACTGCAAAGTTTCAAGAGGTTTATGAGAAATTCTGCAAGGAAAGAGATGCCCACCTCCAGGTCTTAAAAGGTACTGGCTGCTAGATTATTTGAAGCTTTTTGGTCTTATTTGTACCCATAAAGAAGGATTTAAACTCTAGAAACAGTTTACATGCTTTTCTTCTTTATCTGCTTTTGTTATTTTCATTAAAAGTTTAAAATTTCTCAAGAAATGATTCTATCTATTTGTGAAAGCAATCTGATTTGTCAACTTTTAGGACCATTTTGTGAGTCAAATACACCAAGTCTTCCTCACTAACCATATATTTAGTACTGTCTAGTAAGCACTATGGTACATAGCAACTTGAGTTTTTGGCTTCAGTTTTCGTGAAGCCACGAGGAGAATCAAGTACTCAGCATCCACAGTCACCTTTTTTCGCGGCTGATATTTGTTTGATAGCATTTGACATCAGTTCAGTCCTGACTTGTGCTTTTCGACAGATACTATTTCCAAATTTGAGGAAGACAAGGAAAGGCTGTTCACGCGCTATGAACAACTGAGTAAGAAAGACGAATCTCTTCCTTTATTCTTAATGAAACAAAATTTCCACTAACATTTGGGTGATTGAAATCAGGGAAGAAAGAGAAGAGTTTAATATCGGAACAAGAGAAATATTGCGCAGACAAAATTGCTAAATTGGAGGAGTCGTTGAAAAAGAAGAAGCAGGTAAATAACAATGAGCATTAAGTTAATATATTGCTGGTTCGTTTATTCTCATGTAAATAACTGTAAGCTAGATTTTGCTTTTTGGAAAACAGGATGACAAAACTTTCAGCCTTTTGCGGAAAACTCTCGGTTCATTTCTTGACGATGCCTCAGACGAGGACTTTCCGCCTGATGATTGAAGATCTACTTCACCAATTGAGCGCTGAAGACATCCAACTCATAATTTTTTTTTTAATCTTTAAGAAAGAAGATTATAGTATATTGTCTCTGAGATACTTCGATGCATTTGCTCTAGCATACATGAAGTACGGACAAAGCATTTCATTCCTCTTTCTGCTATTATGGTTCACTTTCAAGGTGTGCCTTTTTCTCAAAACCAAGAGGATCATTTTCAAAACTCTCTCTCTCTAGCTTGAAACTCATGTGAAGACTGAAGAAAGAAAAACTTGGGTATGTACAGAAACGTTTTTATTGTTTCAGTCGTTAGTAGTTTAACTACAAGACAAATACTATACGGTATCCTATCTCATTTGGAAACAAGGAAAAAAAATTTCAGCAAAATCAAATTTCAAGCAAAAATAAAAGCAACTCGGAAACCAATGCTCATTTTTTTAAACGCCAACTCTTTCTATAATGGCTCTTAGAGAAACTTCCCGAATACTTTTTTTTTTTTGAAGTTTTTCACACATGTTTTGTTCTCCATGAGTTGCAGATATGATTATACACGATTCAACTTTGTTAAATATAATTATGAATTGCATGTTTTTTCAAAATCTTCCAAGTCAATGAACGATAAGGTATGATTATACACGAAATGTGTATGATTGGTCATGATAATCATCACTGGGCAGCGGAATGGTTGGTCAGTTCTTGAACATCACAACTAACAAGAAAGAAAATTCATTAAAAAACAATCAAACTTGTGAAACACATGAAAAACATCACAAAGTTACTTTTGGCAATAAATTTCTGTACATTGATGGCAAGAACTTCACATTCTGAGAATAAACCGTTTCAGTATGGTATCAAGGAGAGTCTTACTGGTTCAGCGGACCTTGTGGGAGGGGTTGGTTGGCCGTGTGACAGACAAGGGGGGCGCCTGTTTTGATCCTGCATTAAACAACATTTACATGGAGTTTGTAATTTAGTTACATAAAACACTATGAAAACAATCCAGTCTGTAAATAGATAAAGAAGAGTTTGTGATAACATAATTATCCAAAGAGACCAACGTATTTTGTTTCAAAATGTTTTTGTACAAAAGTACCGTTAAGAAGAATAACTAAGAATTTCATCTTCTATATTATACCTTAAACACATTTTAGATATGAGACATATTACCTTCTCAATTATTCAATAAACAATAGAGCAAATTAGAACAACTTTGACAATTGTGAAGTAAAGCACAGCATTCCAAGCACACTCAACATATCACCATAGTCATGTTCACTAAATGTGTAAGTTATCTTGAATAATTTTACAATGTAGAACAAGAGCCTCTCCAAATTGAATGCGTTAGGATACTTGTGCTTGCTGGTGGCTGCAACCGTCTCACATTTATATGCCACCAGCTCTTACTTCTAATCGAGGTGCCATGAATAGCCTGTTGTCTAGTAAACTTGGCAGTTTGTCTAGTTGCTAGACAAATAAGATTAAAATTATAGAACGCAGAGTAATCCACAATTATACACAAAAAACAGTAAACAGTTCACATACCCAATTTCAGTAACAACTGGCAAGAGGAACACTAACCAGTGGGAGTTCCATCGGATACATCAACACACGCTGCACAACTGCACACTTAACTTGCCCAACCTGGTGTGCTGAAAAAAGAAAAGAAGAAAGACTTATAAGTTAAAATCTACTCAGATAAGATTACAAAGCAGATACAAATTTCAGCCACATTGACAATATGCTCACCATCAATATCTGACAAGAAAATAAATGTCCATTCAGTTGTGAGATTGTATTCTACAATAGAATATTAAGATTTTATTGATCATAAGCTTTAATTCAACTCAATGGTGCCCATGTTTTTTTAAACTGCACCCTTATGTGGAGATCACAGAATTGGGTAATACAAGGTTCTTCTCATCAAGGTAGCAACTAGCAAGTGTCCCAAAGGTGACGTGTGGAATTAATTAATGCATTACTAAAGAGATTAGCCTCGAAGCACAACTAAAAAAGAAATGAGGAGAGTCGGGGAGCCATAGGAGTCAGATGAAAGAATGTAAATATATAGCTCATGTACATCCAAAATTTGATGACTTCAGTTCCTCTTGAGAGGATATAAACATGGGTTGTGGAACAAACGTATCTAAGCTCTGTGACAAGTATTTCAGGGCTTCCATATCTCACCCTAGGTGTATGGGCAGTAATGTCTATGGCGCAGGTAAACAATGGGGATGATTTAACAGTAATAAAAGTTATAGGCTAAAAAAATGTATTGTCAGTATAAATCTGTAGTAAGTGCTCTTCATACACTAGGTAGTTGGCATGCTCAAAATATTTGAGGGTTTGGTAAAATGCTGGAGGGAAGAGATACAAAGATGAATCTACGAAAAAACTTGGAATCCTCAGATCATCTTATCAATGATCAAATCACATAGTAACAGTTAATATATGAACAGTTGATCATAACGCGAAACTAATTATCAGTTTAATTACATGTCATGTGGAAGAGAAGGGAAGAACCTTCTAGCACAAGTTAATTGTCTGACACATGAACATTCACATGTTAGCCCCTTGTGGATGTGTAAGCAAACGCCGGCAAGAACCACAAACCATTTGAGCCATTTCTGCAAATAAAATAATAAAATGCACCGCAGAAGACCTTTAACAAAACAAACTGATACTGTGAGACTAAGCTTGCATCTCGCACAAACATTCAATAGTAAGAGATATTGATTCAGTAAAACCTAACCAAATAAAGTTTTAGGTTAGGCACTGTGGTAGCATTTCTTGCTGCATTTTGGCTAACATATAACACTTAAACTGACACACAGGTGATCAGTAGTTCTGTTGGCAACAATAACGCTAAACGGAAATTTACTCTATAAAATGGTCATCCAATTGTGCTTTACTGGAAGCAAGGGTTTCGCGGAAGAGTTTCACATTAACAACTATGGTCTCAAACCAATATAGCTTCCTCTTGCACAATGTCACTAAGTCTTAATAAATTTCACATTTTCTTCAATGAATCTCATTAAAATGTTCTTACAAAATGTAATTAATTATCGCTCATTCAATTCCTTCTAAGTCAAGGGTTGCTACAATTTAATTACTACTAGCATTAAGCAATCTAAAAGGTGTGGGTACGAAGTGGGTAACATTAAAAAATTCAGAAACTTAATAGCAACTTCCAGCAACAGGTAATCACCGAATATAAAACTCAAATGAACTAATGCCTAGGTTCTAAAAGGCTTTTGAATAATAAAGAAAATGTCTTTTGGGTTTTAAATGAAAAACAAAATCATACAAAAATAACCAATTAAAAATATCCATGTAACATGGAAAAGTTGCAGTGAATAAAATGGTTCCTGACGGACGGCGGCGGCGGCGGCGCTGTAGACGCTGGTGAGGAATGGGGTTGTTGCCAGCGGGTGGGGGCCATTCATCATCTCTTCTCTTCTGGTTTTCCGTCGATTCTTTTCTCCTTCGTTCTCCATTCTCTGAGATTCGAGTACAAGGAGTGGAGATGTGTCAGTTACCAATTTTAAATAAAAGTAGTAAATTTTATTAATAATAATTAGTGAAAAAAGCGAGAAAAATATATTCAATTTTAAGTTTGATAAAATTTGTTAGGTAAATTGAGGGGAAAAAAAAGTAAAAAGACTTGAATGAATAACAGGTAAGGGACGAATTTATCCATACTTATAACTTTATTAACTATAAGGAGTTATTGCATGTTTCAGTTTTGTGTTTTTTTGTTATTTTTTTTTTTTTTAGTGATGTTACGATCAATATATATCTTATATCTATATAAAGTGGAACCCTCTGGTTGATTGACATGTTGGACTCATTTGTGGGGTTAGAATTGTTCCATTTGATATATTGGATTGACACGTTGAATGCGCGGTTTTAATGACCCCACTCAAATTCCAATCTTGACACGTTGGGTGTTGTATTAATTACTCATTGACATGTTGGATATGTATTAATAATAATTATATAAGTGTATTGCATTGGCATTCCAAATGTCTAACCATCTTGACACGTTGAATGTATATAATAACAATTATATAGCTACATTGTATTGGCATTTCAAAGGTCTAAATAAAAAGATATAAAGATTGGAGTCAGTCTCTTCAATTATGTTTTGTAGCTCTACAATTGCTCCATTTTGACACGTTGAAGTGTGGTTTAATGACCTCTACTAGAATTGCTAATAATAATTATATAGCTACCTGTTATTGCATTACAAATGTTTCTTTATTTAGTTGCTGTAATATTCTCTCTAGCTAGTAATTCTTTAAGAAATATATGACAAAATCCACTAAATAACTTTTGTAAACATATATACATAGAGGTATATAATGTAAAATCCGAAAGTTCTGATTTTAATTCATATAAGTATATACACAAAACAACTAATATACTTTAATAAGTACAAGATAATCTTGGACAGTGCCGCCAAACTCCTCTGCTTCTTGACGTCCCACCCGACCGTAAATCATCTAGTACCTGCAAAACAGTAAAATAACGGAGTGAGCACTAATTGCTCAGTAAGTAAACCAAACTGCACTATTATTTTTCTTCCGTTACTCATATTCTGACTTTCCTTTTCTCACTTTATTTTTTCTGATATTCTGCATTCTTTTCTGATATTCTGCATTCTTTTATGATATTCTGATTTGCTACTTACCAATGTGCAAAGACAATTAATAAAACTATACATCGTCGTGCACATAAGAAATGCTAAATCATGCAAGTAGCATAATATATATGCAGAATAATAAACTTTTCTGAGAAAAGAACTTTCTTTTCTTTTCTGTTTTCTGTCTCTTGTTTTGTATCTCTTTCTTTTCTTTTCTGTTTTCTGTCTCTTGTTTTGTATCTCTTTCTTTTCTTTTCTGTTTTGGTTTGCCGATCAGACTAGGTTGAGGCATGAATTTGGAACCCTGGCCATGTGAGTGTATACTAGGTACAGTCCTCATCTACATGCACTGCTGACAGACTTTACTAATTATGTTCTGCTATGCTGAGGCCGCTTACTGATGGCGGCATGCATGTAGGTATTTTCGCTAGGTACAGTCCTCATCCACATATAC